TTTTTCACATCCTGTTTAATGGTCTCTAACATTTTCATAATGTTACATTTAAAGTCCATCTTTTTCTACTTCTTCTGGATTAGGGTGTTCATGCCTTCCTGTTGTATGTTCCCTGGATTCTGGTGTTATCATGTTGCTTTTCAGATTGTTGAAGGAATTTTTGCATTGATGCCTGCCCGTCTCTTCCTTCAAATGTTGTTAGGAGAGTCTTGGCGGCTTGGTCTGATCTTTGCTGATCTTTGGCTATCTGTGTACTTGGGGGTTTTTCTTGGTCTGCCCTCTCTTAGGTCCCCTCAGCACTGGAGTTGACTCTCAGATCCTCTCCACCCTAAAGTAGGCTGTGGTGGTGGATCCCTCCAGTTGGATCTACTGGTACTGGATTAGGGCCCCTTGCTGGCCAAGGACTTCACAGACAAAAGGGCGGGCTTGGTAGATGCCAGCTCAGTAGAAAAAGAAACTCCTACAGCCTTGCACTCACCACTGTGTCCCCAGACCCTCAGTCCTGAAGCGGGCTGAGTTGGGGGATTCTAGAACCCTGCAGATGGAAAGGGGTGCTTGGGGAAAAGGTGGGGTGGGATAAATAGAGAAAACCAGTAGCTGGGGAGAAGCCCCACTGAATGATCAAAAAGTTTAGGGGATTAGAGGGTGTCTTCCAGGGGTGTCTGGCCAGCCAGCGGGCACACACTTACCCTTCTGGATGGATCTGAAAGTTTTCTTTTATGATTTTGTTGAGTATATTTTCTCTGCCTTAGAGCTGGAGTTCTTCTCCTTCTTTCACCCCTATTATTCTTAGGATAGGTCTTTTCATGGTGTCCCAGAATTCCTGGATATTTTTGTTAAGAATTTATTCAATTTAATGTTTTCTTTTACCAGTGAATCTATTTCCTCTATAGTATCTTCAACACCTGAGGGTCTCTCTTCCATCTTTTGTATTCTGTTATTTATGCTTGTCTCTGTAGTTCCCATTCATTTACTCAGATTTTCCATATCCAGATTCCCTTGCTTTATGTTTTCTTTATTGTCTCTACTTCATTCTTCAAGTCTTGAAAAGTTTGATTCACCTGTTTGATTGGGTTTTTTTTTGGTTTTGTTTTGTTTTCTTGGGTTTTTTTTGAGAGATTTATTAGTTTCTTCCAATTTTTGTCTTTTCCTCCATTTCTTTTTTTAATTTATAAAAGTTTATTAATTTATAGAAGTTTCCATTTCCGCCCCTCCTCCCAACACCCTCCCTCTCCCCCTACTCCCTCTCCTCCTCCCTCTCCAGTCCTAAGAGCAGTCAGGGTTTCCTGCCCTGTGGGAAACTCAAGTTCCTCCCCCCTCCCTCCAGGTCCAGGAAGGTGAGCATCCAAACAGACTGGATCCCAAAAATCCAGTATATGCAGAGGAAACAAGTCCCAGTGTCATTGTCAATGGCTTTTCAGAAAGACCCCGTGACAGCCACACTCAGAGAATCCGGCCACATTCAGAGAATCTGGTTGGATCACGTGCTCGTTCAGTCCTAGTTCAACTGGCCTTGGTGAATTCTCATTAGATCAGTCCCCTTGTATCAGTGGGTGAACGCACTCCTCATGGTCCTGCCTTTCTTGTTCATGTTCTCCTTCCTTCTGCTCCTCATTTAGACCTTGGGGGCTCAGTCCAGTGCTCCAATGTGGGTCTCTCTCTCAATCTCCATCCATCAATGGGTGAAGGTTCCCTCTGGTCTTGCCTTCTTTGCTCACGTTCTCTTTCCTTCTGCTTCTTGTTTGGACCTAGGGAGTTAAGTCCAGTGTTCCAATGTGGGTCTCTGTCTCAATCTCCATCCATCACCAGAGGAAGGTTCTATGGTGATATGCAAAATATTCATCAGTATGGTTATGGGCCAAGGCCGGTTCAAGCACCCTCTTCTCTGTCTTTAAAGGTCTCAATGATCTTCATAAAATTACATTTAAAATCATTTTCTTCTACTTCTTCTGGGTTAGGATAAAGTCTTCCTATTGTATGACCACTAGGTTCTGGTGTTACCATGTTGCTTTTTAGGTTGTTGGATGAATTCTTGCATTGGCACCTTATCCATCCCTTTCTTCAATTGATGCTGACAGTATCTTTGCATCTTGGTCCAATCCTTGCAGTGGCTATCTGTGTCTTAGGAACTGTTCTTGGTCTGCTCTGTACTGTCACTGTCTGTGTCTCAGGGAGCCACTGAGGTCTCTCTTGCCTGCTCACTTGATCTGCTCTCTCCTGGTTTGTTCTCCTGGTTCGCTCTCTTGGTTCACTCTGTGTAGTCACAACTTGTGCTTCAGAGCTTGTCTCTTGGTCCTCTCTCTTGGTCCTCTTTGTGCAGTTGCAGCTTGTGTTTCAGCATTCCTCTGAGGTTGCGGGGTGGGGCGGTGTTGGAAGGTTTAGGAGCTGAGTGAGACTTGGAGCTTTCAGGGTCCAATGGATGGGATGGAGGTTTTGAAACAGCCAACCTGCAGGAACTCTCCTGCTGGCTGACTAGAAAAGCAGAGGCAGGTGGGGGGGGGCCAGGTTTTGCCCCAGTATGGAGGGCCTAGAGACTGGGATGTCCTTCTAGATGGCTGGGTCCTCTGTGTGCAATACCAGGCTGTGTTTCAGAGTTCCACTGAGGCTACAGGGAGCGGGGGATAGGAAAGTTTGAGGGAAGGTTGGGACTTGTAGCTTGCAGGGTCTAATAAATGGGATGGGAGTATTGTAGCAGCTTTCATGCAGGAAACTCTCCTGCTGGCTGGCTAGAAAAACTGAGGCAGGTGGGGGAGGGGCTCAGGTTTTGCCCCATTATGGAGGGCCTAGAGAGTGGGGTGTCCTGCCTAGTGGCTGGTCACTCACCTCTTGGTCCTCTCTGTGTAGTAGCAGGCTGTGTTTCAGAGTTCCACTCATTAAAAACTCTTTATGCCTCATTCTGACACTGCTTAGTCAGGCGATGTGTCTAATCATAGCAACTTTCTGCAGAGTTAAACTTCGGGGTCAACTTTCTCTCCTGTCATCAAAGACATCTTATATATGTGTCTATAATAGACCACTGTGTGCTGGGGTATGTCTAAGAACTGATGAACAGGAGAGACAAAGCTGGGCAAGAAGAGGTTGGCACATAATGAAGTTTCATCAGAAAATGTAGCCACGCACATGGCTCTCAAATTTAACCTAGCTTGAAAAACACCTAGAGACCTTTTAAAACACTGATAGCTCCCACATACATGTTCATGGGAGCATTAGTCACAACAGCCAAAAGGTGGCTAGTTAGACAGCTCATGAATAATAGAGTTTGCTGTTCAAGTATGAGAAACTGAATTCAATTGCCAAATTCACGTAAAAAGTCAGGTATGTCTGCAACACCAGAACTGGGCAGGGAACAACACCTGATTGCTGGGGCTTGATCGCCACCAGCCTAGCAGTGGGTTTAGTGAGAGCCTGTCTCAAGGCAATAAGGTGAAGGATCGAGCAGAGCACCCACCTCCTGCCTCCACACGTGAGCTTTCAGGTACACACATTTATATATACACAGGCGCATACACAACACATAGCACACACAATCACACAGAGAAAAAAATAGATTAAATAAGTAACTAAATAAACCAATAGTTAAAAGGAAACAATAACACTAGTGTCTCTTGGTAAATAAATGGATGAATGAAATGTGTTATATTCATACAGTGGAATATTACTCTACCTTTCAAAGGAAAAAAGTTCTGGAACACTCTATGACATGGCTGAACCCCAAGGACATTACATAAATGGAGACAAGCCAGTCACAGGAGGACAAATACTGTCTGATTGCACTTAACCAAGTTGCCTGGAATGATTGAATTCATAGAGACAAAAAAAATGTAGAAAGGTGATTGCCAGATCTTGGGAAGCCAGAAAGGGGGTTGTTTCAAATAGTTGAAAAGTTCTGGTTTTTGAGAAGAAAAAGTTCTTGAGGCAAAGCATACTAATGGTTTATAGCAGTGTCATATGCTTAATGGCTCTGAACAAGTGTGTGCAAGTTCATGGGTGCACAGGGAAGTGTGTGTGTGTGTGTGTGTGTGTGTGTGTGTGTGTGTGTGTACACCAGAGGACAATCTCAGACATCATTTTCAAAGAGTTGTTTACCTTAGTTTTTTCGAAAGTCTCTTGTTGGGATCTGGGACTGACCAAGTACATACTATAGACCAGATGACCAACAAATCTGCTGGTCTCTACCTGTCCGTCAGTGGGATGACAGGCATGCACCACCATGCCTGAATTTCTATGTAGATACTCAAACCCAGATCTAAAGTTCAGCTTGACTGAGTTACTTCTCCAGTTCTCTCCCCCTACCCCCCAAAAAAGATTTCTTTAGGGCAGTATATAGCCCAGAAGGCCTCAACCCTACACACAGAACTAAAGGCAACTAAGGAATGCTGTCAGCAGGAGACAGTCTTACCCAGCAAAGAGCACATACCCAATGGTCAACTCTGAAAACATACCAACAAACAAACAAGTAACTGTATACAAACTAAACAGGTTGTACTCACATATTTAGGAACGTGTATAATCATATACATACATATATTTATGTATACCTATATGTATGTGACAATAGTTAATGAAAAAAAGAATACCACAAATTTGAAAGAGAGCAAGGAGGGGTATACAGGAGGTTTTGGAGAGAGAACGGGGGAGAGAAAATGGTGTAATTATACTATAATCACAAAAAAATAACAATTTTTAAAGTGTAAAAGGCTATCCTATCCCTGGGTTTCTAATGCAATGTTCTGGATAGAGTCAGAACACCTTCAGGCTTCTGGTGGTGCTAGTGGTTTTGGTCCTGAGAACAAAACTCAAAGCCATGGGTAGAAAGAGGTGCAGAAACTAGGTCTTAGTCCCAAAGGATAATGGCTCTATCTGTGACAACTATAAGTTTAGGAAGCAAAACGAGCACAGATTCCAAAAAGTGATACATGGTCATAGGGAAAGGAAAGCAGGGGATTGAGGAATTGGCATATGATAATGCGCTGTATGTACCATCGCTGCTTCCCCCACAGGTCTGTATGACACGCCCAACCTCTGGGTTCTTCCAGGACCTGAAGTAACCTTGGGAGAGAATGTGACCTTCTTCTGTCATCTGGAGACTGGGACAAGCAAATTCTTTCTGCTCAAGGAGGGAAGATCCAACCATGTCCAGCACAGACTTGGGAACATAAAAGCAGAGTTCCCCATGGGCCCTATGACCAGAGCCCACAGAGGGACATACAGATGTTTTGGCTCTTACAATGACCATGTGTGGTCTTTTCCCAGTAAACCTGTGACACTACTCATCCCAGGTAAGGACACTCTCACCCGTGTCTTAACCACAGCCCTAGGGGATGCTCTTGACAGTGATTAAAAAGGTAACAAAGAGTTCTTTGCATTTTAGAGATACAGCTGGCCAATTGGGAACCTGAGAGGGGCAGAGAAAGGTGAAGGAATAAAGGATATAGGAGAAGACATAAAATTCTCACTTTTTAAAATTGTTTTCCATTTCTAGGAGATGTTGAGAACACCAGCCTTGCACCCACAGACCCTACTTCTCTTGGTGAGTCACTTCCAAATTCATCAGAAAAGAGGTGGAGAATTAGCTATTGGTAAAGTACTTAGTTTGAGAACCCAAGCTGAATCTGCAGCACCCATGTAAAATCCAGGCATGGTACCCTATGTCTGTAATCGTGATGCTATGGAGGGGGGAATCCCTGGGGCTCAGTGTCAAACCAGTTTAGTTGAATCAGTGATTTCAAGGTTTATTTAAAGACCCTGTCTCAAAAAGTAAGATGGAGAGGATTTGAAAAAGGTATCCAATGCTGACCTCTGGCCTACTCACTCACACACACACACACACAAACACACACACACACACACACACACACACACACACCATGGAAAGATCAAAATGACACTTAAATGAGGTACATTACTCATTTAATGTACATCCCCCAACTAGCAGCTGCTGCAGAGTCAGTCAGCCAAACATCCTTACCTTTGTGAAACTTACATTGTAGCAATAAGAAACAAACCAAGAGACAAGCCAGAAAAAAAAATAAATTTGTTCTCTAGCACATAAAGAGGCAATCAGTGATAAAGGAAAAGATAATGCATGAAATTGATCAGGGAAGAAGGCAACAATATAAAAGATGGTTTCCCAGAGTGGGAAGCATCTGAGATAAAAGCCACTGGGAAACTACTTGGAGGTACAGAGGGAGAGAGATGCATAGCCATGTGGAAGACATATAGATGATGCAGAACTGCTGTGAGGCACTGGGGTCAGAAACAGTTATGTGGGCTAGTTTCATCTCAGTTTTTAAATTTGTATTAATTCTTTGAGAATTTCATATGATGTTTTGATCATACTCAACTCTACTACCATAGATCATACTACCAGATTCACCCCCTCACTACCCAACTTTTGTGCCTTCATTTTTTTAAAAACTTATCAATATCTTGCATGTGTAGCCTTCCACAAGAGTGTGGTCAGTCTATCAGGGGACAAAACCCCTAAAGAAACCTACTCTTCCCTTACCTAGCAGCTATCAAATGCTAATGGCTCCCCCTCCAGGGGTGAGACTTCACACTTATCTCCTCTCCGTGTTGGGATTTGGTCTAGCTTGACCTTGCACAGGCTGTATGAATGCTAACATAATATGAGTTTACATGTGCAGCTGCTCTATATGGTCAGAAGACACTATTTCCTTATAGTCATCCACCACCTATGGCTCTTACAGTCTTCTCAACCCCTCTTTCATAATAATCCCTAATCCTTGGAAGAAGGGATGTGATAAAGCTCATTTAGGGCTGAGCATTCCACAATCTCTCTTATTCCCTGCACCTTGAACAACTACAGGTCTCTATTTTAATTACCTTCCTCTCTGGTGGAAAATTCATTTCTGTTGCTGTGATAAGACACTCTGGTTAAAAGCAACTCTGAAAAAGAAAAGATTTATTTGGTCATCTCTGAGAGAAAGTCACGGCAAGAACTCAGGCAGCTAGTTGCATTACATCCACAACAAAGCACAGAATGAAACAAATACATCCATGCTACCTGTTTCAGCTTTCATCCAGTGTTCTCCTATATCCTTTGTCATTCATACAACCCTGCCCAAGGACTGGTACCACAAGAGAGTGGAACTTCACACATCAATTATTAATAAAAAGCAATCCCACAGAGACATGCCCACAGGCCAACCTGATCTAAATAAATCCTTACCTCAACTCTCTTTTCAGACAGTTCTAGATTGTGGCAGATTGACATTTAAAACAGAGCATCATAGGAGTGATGATGGGGACAGGTGCAGCTCACTTCAGATGGTGAAGAAAATAACATGTGTGAATTTGTCTTCATGTGAGACAAATGAGTCTCACAATTGAATGAATGACGAAAATGAGGCTTCCCCAGAGTTTCTGTCTGGCGTGACCATACATTAGTACTCTGTGAATCCATACTTAAGTACATCCATTTCTTTACTAGTCTGCTCTATTTCCAGATGAAGCCCTGAGGACTTGGAATTCTAGGTGGGAACCAACGTTGCAAAGACATGAGATGCCATGGGGCCTATACAGAAAAAGAAACGTTTCAAAGGAAGGATCCAACACCATTGTTCATTCATCCCTTCTTCTTTTCCTTATCCTCAGATTATTGGGAGTACAACCTTTCAGCCGAAGAAGAATCAGAATTACAGAAGGGTAAGTGAACATCTAGATTCTGAGGAAAGGCACAGGGCAAAGCAGGAATGTCAAAAAAGAAGAGGGAGGATGGGGTGGGTGTAGCCTCTGCCAGCAGTGACCCTGTCTTCCGACTCCAGACTTTGCCTTCTGGGATCACACAGCCCAAAATCTCATTCGAATTGGTGTGGCATGCATAGTCCTGATGGCTCTGGTATGGCTTTTGGTTGAAGACTGCCTCAGCAGGAAGAGGGATAAAGAGGGGACCAACAGATCACCAAGTTGGGAATACAAGAGAAGATGGAGAGTCCACCGTTCCCTTGAAGAGGAACAAAGGAACGCAATTTCTATGCGGGAACTGAAGGCAACTCCTGGACCTGGGGACATATGAGCTCTATGCTGCCCCCTGGAGGAAGAAAGGCATCATTGCAGGAATGAAAGGGTAGTGTCACCCAGTCTGGCAAAACATCCTAAAAGGGCATGGTGAGACGAAATGTCTAAGTTTCTACTATAGACAAATTCTCTGTCTCTGTTAAACTTTAAGTTTAATGTTTGCTTACTGCAAGCTATACTTTTAAACACTCTGGTCTTTCCTAGGGGGAAAAAAAAAAACATGTTGGCCATGGGAATATTTCCTTACTACTTTTGTCTTTAGCATTTTTCTAATTTCATTTATTTTATGTGTACGGATATTTTTGTGCATGTATGTTTGTGAACCATGTATGTGGCTAGTGTCAGATCCCCAGGGACTCGAGTTACAGATGTCTGTGAGCTGCCATGTGGATGCCGGGAATGGAACACAAGTCCTCTAGAAGAGCAACAAGTGTTCTGAACAACCAAGCTGTTGTAGCGTATTTGTTTACACTGTGTAAAGATGCTTCGCTGTAATTGGTTTTAGAGCTCAATAGCCAATAGCTAGGCAGGAGAGAATAGGTGGGACTTCTGGACAAACGGAAAAGTCTGAGATGAATCTCTGTGCATAAGAAACACCAGGAAGACATGGAACAAATCAGACATAAAGAATGGAAGAGAGGTAAAAGCCACCTGGCAAAGCATAGATTAGTAAAAGCATGATAAGAGCTAGTTATAAGAGCTAGTTGGCAAAAAGCCTACGGTAAGGCAAAGCTTTCATAATTAATAATAGGTCTCTATGGTGTTATTTGTTAACTAGCAATCCGAAGAAAGATTGGCTACACTGAGCCTTATCTCCAGCTCCATCCTCAATTTAGTTTTTTGTATTGTGTGTCCATGTGTGAGGTACATGTGTGCACACATATGTCATGTCACTCATATGAGGTCAGAGGACACCTTTGTGCGGTTTTCTCCTTCCAATTTTAAAACATTGTTTCTTTTGTTTTCTGATATAATACAATTATATCTCCCCCTTCCTCCCTTCAAACACTCACATCCTTCCTTGTTCTCTTTCAAATTCATGGCCTCTTTTTTCATTAGTTGTTGCTACACATATATGTCTATACATATATGTTCCTAAATGCTTAAGCTTTTTGTGGGTTCCAACAATTGAATACAGATTGTTAGACATATACAGCAAGTGTTTTTAACTTACTGAGCCTTTGCCTTGCTAATCTATCATTATTTCTTTCTTCTTTCCTTTGTCTGCAAGAATTCCATTCAAAATAAGTACTGAACAACAATACTAATAAATAGACATATACTGTTCTAGCTAGAATTATGTCAACTTGATACAAGTTAGAGTCATTCTGGAAGAGGGAACCTCAGTTGAGAAAATGTTCCCACAATATTGGCTTGTAGGAAAGCTTACAATGCATTATCTTGGATGATAAGAGATATAAAGGACCCAGCCCACTGTGGGCAGTATCATTCCTAGACTGGCAGTCCTGGGTTCTGTAAAATAAGCAGGCTGAAAAACCATGAGAAAAAAGCCAATAAGTACCACCCCTCCCTGGCCTCTGCATCTGCTCCTGCCTTCGGGTTCCTGTACTGATTTATCTCAGGGATGGTCTGTGGTATGGAAGTGAAAATAAAATAAACCCTTTTCTCCCCAAGTTACTTTTGGTCATAGTATTTTATCACAGCACCAGAAACCCTAACTAAACATGTATGAAATGCTTCAAAAACCATTGCAACCACAACATATCATTATAAATGCAAACTAAGAACAAACAATGCAAAGATGTAGATGTGTCCTAGCTGGTTCTCACCCAATCCTTGGTTTCCCCCATCTATATACCATGTAGGTCCTAGGGATTGAACTCGTGATCACCCTTGGTGTCAAGTGACTTTTTCATCTGAGCCATTGCACCTCCCTTGATCGTATAGCACCAGAACCCTGTTAGTGCTCACATGTCCATGTTCCCATCTGTAGTATAGGTTTCATGTGAATTGAGCCTATCAGTTTGGTGATAATATTCTCAGTCCTCAAGGAGATATCAGGAAACACAATGAGTGGGTACATGAATACAACACAGAACTTGAGACTCCTGAGTCTTGATATGAAGTAGAGGGTCCCGCAGCTCTTTCCTCCTTAAACTATTTGATTGTTCCAATAATATACTAATATGGATCACCATTCCCTACTATACAGACACATCCGGCATGTAAAACTCATCTCTAAAGCTAAATTTACTGTTAAGGATATTCCTAAACCCAAAGACATGCAATCAGGTGCTTTATTGTTATTCTTTGCTGGTTGGTTGGTTAGTTGGTTGGTTGGTTGGTTGGTTGGTTGGTTGGTTGTTGATTTAGGCTGTTTTGTTTTGTTTTTTGAGACACAATCTCAAATTACAAAGATGTAATGAGGAGTCATATCTAGAAAGTAGCCTAAACTCTGGCATACATGTCACTCACTGCACTGTAGGCAACTGATGGTTGCATCCATTGCCCAGGGAGCTCCAAATTGAACTTTCTTCTCTATTTTCCCTATTGGTAGAACTTTCTAACTTGGTATCAAATTATAATCTCCCAACACCCTATTCAACCCAAGATTAAATGGATTGGTTTGGAGTGAGTTTATGACATGTTAAATTTTCCCTATTCTAGTTTATGTCAAGGAACCAGTCATCTTAAACAAAATAGTATGTAAGTTAGGAATATTTTATAGCCTTCTACCTAGAGTCAGAACTTGGTTTTGGTAAATGAGCCTCCTCAAGGGAATGAAGAGGGTGGTCCTGACCAGCCCTAACCCTGTGCCCTTAACTCATCCTAATCAAAATCTCTCAAACTGATCACAAGCAATACCCGAGAGCTCTACTGCATTTATATTTTGTAAGATATTGAACATGATATCTTAAACATAAAAATGAAGGATGCAGATAAAACACCTTCAGTTGCTAAGTTAAATTATATATAAAAACATTATTATAAAAATTCAAAATGAATATAACTTTCATAATGGACAAAGTATCAAAATTTTAAACAAAATTGTGCATATTGTTTGTCAGAAATGCTACAACAAAATACTACAGGACAAGTATCACATTACAAATTTATTACCTTAAGATTATGATATGTTCTAAGATATTCACTATTGCTGCACTCTGTGAGAGAGAGGGATCTCTTTAGATGTCTGCCCAATATAGGCATCAAAGCATAGCTCCAACCCCACAATCACACAGATGAACCTCATTAGTCTCAGTGGTCACAAAACAAAATGAATGTAAGATATTCATTCAAAAGGAATGAAGGGTGGGCAGGAGTGGAAGAAAGATGGTGGATGATAGAGATCACCATGCAAGGTGTACATGTGAAAACTGTCTAAAAACAAATTTAAGGAATAATTTTTAAAATCAACATGTGGACAGGGTTGGTTTCTCATGAGACCCTTCTCTTTCTTCACATGACTAGCGTGTGTGTGTGTGTGTGTGTGTGTGTGTGTGTGTGTGTGTCCAACAGAAAACAAAACAAAGTAAAGATTTTCCCAAGGCCTGTCTCCTTGGTTGTCTCATCTCTATGTCTTCATGTCTTCTTCCATTATTTTCTCACTTCATCCTCCTCTCCCACCTCTGTCCCTGCATCTGAGTCTCTGTGTCCTCTGTCTCCATCTCTCTGACCACCTCTCTCTCTATCTCTCTCTGTGTCTCTGTCTTTGTCTGTCTCTCTATCTCTATCTGTTTCTCTGTCTCTCTATGTCTCTGTATATCTCTCTGTCTCTGGCTGTCTCTATCTCTGGCTATCTGTGTCTCTGTCTCTCTCTCTGTCTCTCTCTCTGTCTCTCTCTCTCTCTTTCTGCCTGCTACCTGTGGATCTGGATGCAAAGCTCTCAGATTTTGCCCTACCTCCGTATCTGTCTGCTTCCTACCATGATGAACATGGAGTAACCCTCTAAAACTGTAAACAATTAAATGTTTTCTCTGAACCCTAGACTTTTACCCTCAGAACTTTAAATCATCTTATCAGCTTCTTCCATTAAACTATGGTCCATAATTTTCTTTTTTAATTTTTATTAATATCATAATATTTATTATGTATGAGCACATATATGTGCACGCAAGTACCCATGGAGTCAAGAATAAAAATGTCAGATTCATGGTGCTGGAATTACAAGCAGTTGTGTAGTGACCAACATTCATTCTGGAACTGAACTCTGATCCTTTGTTAAAGCAGCAAATGCTCTTAACCACTGAGTCATCTCTCCAGTCCCTGGATTCACCATTTTTTCATGCCAAAAAATGGTTCCTCCGATTTTGAAAAACCTTAACCCTATTCACACATACTCTTCTCACTCTCTCATACCCACCCACATGCAGAAGCCCACAAATCACTTAATACAAATCAGCCCCTGACCCCTGGTAAAGGTATAATAAAATAAATAACTTAAGTTGTAACATTTTCATGCAAGCATATCATTGTGCTTGGCTCATATTCATCCTTTCATTGCCCTCTTTATCCTCCTTTCCCCACTAAATAATCTCCCTTCTATTTTTGAGTCATTGTGTTAAATCTGCATCCCAAACATGAGAACATATATATTTGCCTCTCCTTCCCCCATTACTTTTTTAACTTGTGTTCCTGCAATACATTTAAAATGTCTCTCATACCAAAGTGCTTTATTTTTCTTCAGGTAATCTATTTTACTAAGTATGTCATTTTTATTTCAAAATCAGGTTACATCAATGTTTTGTTTGAGAATGGTTTCGTATAGCTCAGGCTGGCCTTGAATTCACTATGTAGCTCAGGATGACCTTAAATTTCTGATCCTTCGGCCTCCACCTACCAAGTGGAGGATTGCATACATGAAATCACAATGCCTGAATTCATTTTCTTTTCTTCTATATAGAAAGCCAATTATAGGGGCTGGAGAAATAGCTCAGCGGTTAAGAGCATTGACTGCTCTTCCAGAGGATCCGGATTCGATTCCCAGCACCCAATCCAGTTTCAGGGTACCTGACACCTTCACACCAATGCACATAAAATAAAAGATAAATAAATCATAAAATTAAAAAAAGAAAGAAAGAAAGCCAATTATAAAACCACAAGACTATACAGCATGTTGTTCTACCCTCCCCCTTATACAACAGTCTCCTTCATCCTCAACTTCGATTTCCAGAATTTCAGTTACTCAGGAATCAAAGGAAGTGGGTCTTTGCTAGTTCCAGGATAGCTCAGAGCTACATAGTGAAGCCCTATCTGCAATAATATTTCCACAGTACAATGGTGATTTGGGACAGTTTGAGACAGAGGCATCATATTTCATAGTTATTTTTATTTTATCGCTAATCTCTTACCCTGCCTAATTTATAAGGTTTGGGGTCTAAAGAAGTGGTTCAGTATTTAAAATGTTTGCCATAAAATTGTGAGGACCTCAGTATAAAACTTCAGAACCTATGCAAATGCCAGATGTACATAGAAGCCCACCTATAATTTCAGCCTCAGAAGGTGGACATAGAAAGTCCCTAGAGCAAGCATCTAGAAGACTAGCCATATCAGCAAACTCTGTGGGGAAGAGATAGGGGATATGGGCCACCAAAAAAATGATGAATAAAAAGACCATAATGAAACCCACTAATTGTATGCTAACATTAATATGTGGGGGAAGGGAGGTACCTATAAGCTTATATGTGCACTGCATGCATGAAGTACTTGTGGAATCCAGAAGA